GTTGTTTTTTTAATACATTTTTTTTTTGGCTTTTATATATATATATTTTATTTTCTATTCAGACATCAATTCATACAAAGCTACAAATATGGTCATTTTCTTTTTTTCTTTTTTCCTTCTTTTTGCAAAAGGGAAAACAATGACCAAGCTGTAAAAATGAGAGAGCAAAATAATAATGAAAAACATAAATTAAAAAAACTAAGGTTAGTAAATTGTAAATATGGAAGTCACGACAGCTGCTTCAGCAGAAATTTAGAGAAAAAAAAAAAAAAACATACAAGAAAATAAAAAACTCAAGAAAAAAAAGCAAATCATCTTTTCAACTGTGTTATCAAAGCATTAGTTTTATTAACAATGTGTTTAAACAGTTGCAAAATTTAGATGACAAGGAGAGCCGTTACCTTAGAATAAACTTTACTACTTTAGTAAATCTGCCTCCGAATTATTCTTATTATAGGTTACTTGTAAAATCACATTTAACTAAAAAAAATAAACTCAAAATAAACACTAGACTCTGTACACACTTTGATCTAATAAAAAACAAGTACTTCTACTTCACAAAATTTACCCCAGTCATAAAAAAGAGAAAAATTTTGGAAAAAAAAATGAATATTGGTTTTTTTTTTTTTTAAAAAAAAAAAAAAAAAAAAAAAAAGGTTCATATTCTGTTTACTGATTTTGCTTTTCTTTAAAAAAAAAAAAAAAAAAAAAAAGTCATTTTTTTTTTTTTTTGAAATTATTAAGTTTTATTCATCTTTTATAATCAGAGGTATATTAACTATTTCATAGATAACTTTAGGTAGAAAAATATCTACTTTAACAGAATTTATATCATATAGTTAAAGGTAGTAAAAAAAGAAAAAAAAAATATTTCTAGTTAATTTCAATGCACTGGAAGTTTTATGTTATTTTTTATTAAATTAAAAAACTAAAGAAAACCAATGGTAGCAATTTATTTATCATGGGTTGGGGAAGCAAATAAAAGTAAAAATTATTTTAATTTATCAAAGAAGCAAAATAGTATGCTTTTATAAAGACGAGTATCTGGTTGACAATTCTCAAAAGAAAGCTTCATCTTTCAAAAAATATACAATAAAGTATGGCTTAATTTTTGTTTTTATTTGTATTAGTATTCCATGCCTGTTCAGTTTGATGTTGTGCGTATCAGACCTCTCCAGCCGGTGCAATGTATGATCAGATCTTAGTTATTCGTAAACTTGGTCTAGTATTTCACAAAGCCAAATGCACGATACACATAGGGACAAAGATTACACTACATTAATCTTTCAAGTATGTCTGGCCTGCCTGCTTGCCTGGAAAAATCAGCATTCAAAACCCTAGCCTTTAGCTGGGGCTGAAATACCAACCTCTGGCATGAAGTGGAAGAACATAATTGTTTCAAGACAGGATTTAAACTCTTTTAATTACTTTGACTCCATGGTGACTTTCACAGAAAATCGACAGTTGTCACTATTGTAAGTCAACTCACCAAGTTTTCTTTCGTGTTTCTCCTTGAAAGTGAAAGAAACTGGATTAAAGCATCAGCTGTTTAGCCACGTGTTAATCTTAATCTCTCTGGCTTGTGTGATAAGACAAAAAAAAAAAAAAAATCTCCTGAGATGGTATGTAAATTTGCTTGTAGCTTTTTATTACAAAAACTACTTACAGACAATTTTTTTTTTTAATTGAGACGCCAGAGTGTTTAAAATGGTGACAATGGTTTGTGTGGCTGAAGAATCTTTTTTTTTTTTTTTTAAGTCTCTTATTCTTAGAGAGAGGTCACTGAACAGAATGCTGAAAACTGATTTTTCAAAATATTATCAAGATAAGTTTTTCAATGTCGGAAAAACAAAAATAGCAAGAAAAGCTCAAAGAGCATATTCCAATTATCTTGTTTTGTATGGGTTGAAAAATGAGAAAAGTTTAATTTCAGTGTTGAGAAAATAAAGCCTCTAAGATAAATTCCTGGAAGTACAAAGACTTTTACAGAAGGCCAAAATCAGATGCTAAAATTTTGGCCCAAATTCTTCTGGGAGAATCTTTAAAGGTTATTTTCAATGAGCTTTGGCATTAGGTGAAGAATTATTTTGCCCCAGCTTGGTAATTTTTGTTTAATTGTATCCTCAAAAACTAAACAAATGCAACAAGGAAAGCTTAGAGATGTTCAACATTTGATGGTAGCTTTTTCTTTGTTGAATGAAGCCCTAAAATAGACAAGGCATGGCTAGTTTGAACATTTATTCAAAATCTTACATTTTTTAAATTTTTTCTTTAGCTTTTCACTGTGTATATTTGTTTGGTTATGTTCGGATGGAATCTGGTTCAAGAGAAACAATTTGTGTTTTTATGATTTTTAGTATGATCTGAATTTTTGCATTACTAGAACCTTCTGAGATTGTTAGAAGAATCTTTGGAAATCCATGACACTCAGCAAAGAATTTTGCTATGTTTATTACTCATAAAAAAAAAAAAAAAAAGTAGTAATAATATATGATCCTCA